AGTTTCCACACCCAGCATAGAGCCTGAGATGGGGCTCGATCCCATGACCCCGAGATCATGACCTGAGCTGAAGTCAAGAGTCAGACTCCTAACCGACTGAGCCCCCAGGTGTCCCCAGTTCATAGTCTTGTAGGGTGCTTTGGATCTAGGAACCCCATTTGCCCAACCCAGACAAGAGAAAAAAATCCCATAGGCCATGAGGATTAACGTTGAAGAGAGAAATGGCTTTTCCTTACGGTAAGGTATGGTCTGTTCTGTTTCATTGATCCCAATAAAGCAAGAAGCATCTGCAGTGGCACAGACGCTGCCCTGACCAGCCAACAAGGACTCTAGAGCAAGCCCCACCACCCATCACCACTTATGTCAGTCTGCAGCTCTTCAGGGCAATGGTGGTCACAGCTCCTCTATGGGAAACAGTAGCTCTCCTTCTCTCTGTAGAGTTCCTACCTTTGGAAACATTGCTCTGGTTGTTGGCATCACAGTGAATCAGAAAGCCATCCAGGAAAAGTGCCTGAATAATCAAGGTGGCCTCATTTTGGAGCTCATGTCTGAGTTAGGGTTTCCAGCCTGGTGGTCTCCAGAATAGGGCCTCTGTATACAGACAAGTCTCAGAGTACTTTTCCTAAAGTGAATGAGGTGTTAGTCTGAGGCAAGCAGCACCAACTGGCCCCCAGAAAAGTAGTATCCAGCCAGGGCACATGGAGATCCAGGAACAGAGGACTTGCCTATGACGTAGGTGGTCCAGGAACAGAGGGCTTGCCTATGACATAGGTGGTTGTTTATTTGGATCTCTGTTGTTCTCTTTCAAGTGGCAGGTATTTTGCCCATTGCTCTATGAAGGTTATTGAATTAAAATTTAGAATTACCTGGAATCTGATAAATAGATTTTAATAATTGATTCTTTATCTGGGAGAGAGGGACGTGGGCAAAGTCACAGGCTAGGATGATTTATCATGAGGAACTAACTGATTCACACCATTAAGGAAGCTGAGAACCCACAGTCTATGGTGTGAGCTGAAGACCCAGAAAGCCAGTGGCGCAATGCCAGTCCACATCCTGTTGGTAGGAATTCTGGTCCAAGGCAGGAGAAGACTGCGCCCAGCTAATGCAGGCAAGCAGGAAGAAAAAGGAGCTAATTCCTCCTTCCTTTTATTCTATTCAAGCCCTCAGTGGCTTGGATGATGCCCACTCATATTGGGGAGGGCAATCTGCTTTATAGAGTACACCAATTCAAATGCTAATCTTATCTGGAAATACACGCACAGACACACACAGAAATAATGCTTGGTCTGGGTACCCCATAATCTTCACACATAGAATTACCCATCATAATGGGACATCGCCTGGAACCAAAGCCTCAAGGGCCTTTTAAATATCTTCAATGGGTTTTATCTGGCTTCCACTCTCCATGGGATTTGAATGTTTTAGTTATTATATGCATATTTTCAGGATGGGTTGAAGTATTTCCTTGCCAAAAAGTGGTAGCCCTTTGCAGTGGCTAAAATCTTTGATTTTGTTTCCAACCAGGGGCATCCCAACTTTAATGTCAAGTGATCAAGGCACACTATAGGAACCATTATGAAAGAACTCTGTAAAGAGTTACTACTTTCTCAAAAACTATACCGCCTCTGCCATCCAAAGTATTCTGGAAAGTCTGAAAGAGCCAAAGGCATCCTTAAATTAAAATTAGCAAAATTTTCAGAAACCCTGAGTTCCTTTGGCCAAAAGTACACTAGTCCTTACAGCCACATGGTTTACTCCCTCAAGGACACATTAGTTACCCTATGACCTGGTAATGGGGAAAGCCTATGCATTTAGGGACTTCACCGCTGATACTAAATCCTGCCCTGCTACACACAGACATGGGAATATATTGCAAGGGACTCATGTACCACACCCTCCATCACCAGCAGGTGAAGGATGCCTTCCCACCACATCATTCTAAATAGCCTCTTCATGACCTTCAACCCAGAGGTTTTGCCTATTGGAGGACACATCTGAGAAAACTGCTCTTGAACTTCGTTGGAAGGCCCCTCAGCATCTATTACTAACAACAAATCTAGCAGTAAAATTCAAAAGAGTCAGATTTCATAACTTGGTTCATGATTCACAAATAAAGAAGCATACAGAATTCCATCCAGCTGGAAGACTATTTCAATAAGGGACCTTGAGCTTCAGAGAGTCCCTAGAAGCAGCCTATTTTCAGAAGCAGGGAGCAGACCAGAAACCATTAGAGCAAGCTGATGACCTCATAGAGTGGAGCACTTCCACCCAAGGCTGTAATAAGTGATGGGCTTTGCTAGAAGTTGAGTTAAAATTCCAATGGCTTGTGTGGATTGCTCTTCCACAAATAGATGATGGGGAGTTTCATAGTTAGGGATGCCAGGAAAGGAGGCTGGTGAAGAGCTTTCCTCAGGTTCCAGAATGCCTCTAGGAGGAAATGTCCCTCAGTCCTTCCCCAAGAACTTAGTCAATTCATAAAGGAGGTGTCACAATCTCAGAAAAAAAATGGCTCCCATTGTCTGTAATATCCAGTTACACCTGGAAATCCTCCCAAATGTCATTTTGTGAGGGGCCTGGGTTAAGTTTGGCTAGTCTTTAGTCTATCGGAAGAGTGTTTTTTTTTTCCTCCTGAGATAGGTCATACCCTAAATAATGGACTGTGTTTTTGCAAAATTGTAATTTATCTTTTGAAACTTTATGTCCCTTTTCTGCCAAGGCTGAAAGTGCATGGAGTCCTTTTCACAGGTTTTGTTCTCTGAGCAAATGTAGATGATCATCTACATATAGTGTCAGCATTGAATCTCAAGAGTGATTTAGATCCTCTAAGTCTTGATAAAGGACCTGGGCACAGTAGGAGGAAGGGTCAGTGAGGCCCTGAGGCACAACCATTCAAGCGTACTGTTGTGCTCCCCAGGTAAATGTGAAAGGCACTGCCTGTCCTCATCAAGGGGCACACTGAAAAGGGCAAAGTCCCACCACACTGAACAAGTGGCTTCAGGAGGAACTGATGAAAGGATGGTATTTGGGTTATGGGAAGGGGAAATGACAACTTTATTGATGTCCGAAGTCCTTGAACAAGTTGATATCGCCACTCATTTTGTTCTTTTACCGATGGGCGAGTGTGGGGCACCAGAAGCCCATGGGTGAGAGGCCTTCAGCGAGAGCCTACATCTTGCCTTTGCTTCTGGCTTCAAGAAATATAAGGGAAGTTCAGATAATGGTTCTAGTTGAGGTAGGATCTAGTTGAAATTTTACAGGTTCTGATCCAATTATTTTTCCTATGTCCATGTCCATGGAATTTTTATACTTGTCAGGTACAGCATCAAAATCTGGGCTCAGGTAGCAGTGGGTGAGTGAGGGTGACCCAGGTGTTAGTTCATCACATCCCTCCTTGAGGTGTTTATACTCCAACCCAGGAAAGTATCTAAGACAAAAAGAAAATGAAGCGATAACGGTGGTCTAATGGCTTGGGATCTGCCCATCTGAGATAAGGGGCCATTTCTCCTACCCTCTAAGGCTGTTTCAACCTTCCTGACTGCTCACTAACATCCAGGAACCCAGGCAGCACTGTGCATCTTCTGTCATGGACCCTGTGCTGTGCGGTAAGAGCTTGTGGCTTGTGAGCTTGTCACTGCCATGTGCCAACTCTGCATACTAGAGAGCGAGCAGGTGAAGGCTTAGCACACCCCTTCAGAGACATTGTCCTTGCCACAGAACCCAGGGAGAGCCTCTTCTCAAAAAGATGGACCCACAGATTTAGAGTAAGTTATTGATGCCAGTGCATGTCCCACAATCAAAGAGGACTCAATTGTAAAACAAAAAAATATGCTGACAAGTGTGTTAACTTGAATATTTTCCACTATTAATATTTGCCTTTTGGTCTGAAGTCTCATAACTGATTATAAGCATAACTATGGGTAAAGAGAAAATGCCGAGTTTTATAGATATTGTCTTAATATGGGAAAGCCCCAGCTTCACTCATAAATTAAAATGATGGCATTGACATACATGGCCTTACTTAACAGATAAATCATCCTCGGTTATACAGTGACTGGTAGAGCTCCAAAGAACTTGCTAGAATGACATAGTACATAGGAGAGGGAACACAGGCTTTGGGGTCATGCAAAACTCAGTCTTAATATGGGTTTTTACATATGAGCTGCATGTCCTCGGGCCACCTTGGAACTCCACTGTAGATCACCACATTTACAAATTGGGGATAATATTATCTCGGGATTTGTATGAAAATGGAATGAGATATCATGTGTAAGTAGCTGAGCATAGTGTCTGAAATATAGCTAGCACTCAGATAATGTCTCCCTCTCACCTGCAGATATGTACCAACTAAGTGCTGCTATAAGCCTTCTTTGCAGAGAATGGTAACATAAAGACAAGTTGTAATTGTTCATTATTGATTGGAAATGGAAAAAGGGTCCCAATAATTTACTTTATTACTTGACTTTACAATAGATAGAGAAGGGGAAAGGGAGAGACTTTAACACCTAGCAATATATCATGGCAATATTTACTTATGGTTAAAAATATAAGATAAATGATAATTTTGAGTGGAAATGATTGGTTGGAAGATAGAAGATGAGCTATGGATTACTAAGTTTTTCTTTTATTGAGGTGAAACTCACATAACATACAGTTAGTCATTTTAAAGTGTATAGTCTAGTAGCATTTAGTACATTCCACCACTTCTCTCATTTCCAAACATTTTCATCACCCCAGGAGAACATCCTGCAGCCGTTAAGTCATCACTCCTCATCCGTACTCCCCCAGCCCTGACCACTAATCTTTCTTTCTATGGGTTTGCCAATTCTGGACAGTTCATATAAAAGGAATCATACAGTATATGATTTTTTGTATCTGGCTACTTACACTTAGCATAATGTTTTTGAGGCTCATCCAAATTACATCTATCATAATTCATTCCTTTTAATTACTGAATAATATTCCATTGTATATATAAGCCACATTTTTATTTATTTTTTTTAAATGTGGAATGCTTCATGAATTTGCATGTCATCCTTACAAAGGGGCCATGCTAATCCCTGTATCATTCCAATTTTAGTATATGTGCTGTAGAAATGAGCACTAAACCACATTTTTAAAAGTCCATTCATTTGTTGATGAATATTTGAGCTGTTTCAATATTTTGGCTATTATGAATAATGCTGTTTTAAACATTCATATACAAGTTTCTATGAGGATATATGTTTTCATATTATTTGGATATGTATGTGGGAGGGAAATTGCTGAATCATATGGTAATTATATGTTTACCTTCTTGAGGAACCACCAAACTACTTTCCATAGCAGCTGCACAATTTTACAGCAATATATGAAAGCTCTGATTTATTCACATCCTGGCCAGTGCTTATTATTTTTCATTGCAATGATAAAAATAATAATAGCACATAGCAATATTCAAAATGTCCAGTACCAGTTTTCAATGAAAACTTACAAAGAAACAAGAACATACGATACACTCAGAGAGGAAAAAATGAAATTGGCAGTAAACATCCCTGAGGAAACCAAGGCACTGGATTTACTACACAAAGACTTTAATTGTCTTACATGTGCTCAGCGAGCTGAAGGAAACCATGAACAAGGAACGAAGGGCATTCAGAAGAATGATGTGTGAACAGTAGGGAATATCAATAAAGGGGCAGAAATTATAAAAGGAACCATATAGAAATTCTGGATCTGAAAATAAAGTAGATCAAATTAAAAATTCACTAGAGAAGTCCAGCAGCAGATTTGTTCAGATCCTTCTGAAAGTCAGCATACTTGACTATAGGGCAATTGAAATTACCCAGTCAGAGGAACAGAAAGAAAAAAGAATGAAGAAAAATGAACACAGTCTAAAGAACTTAAACATTATCAAGGTACTAAAATGCACATTGTGGGCATCCCAAAAAACAGAGAGAGATAGGGAGCAGAAAATATTTGAAGAAATAATGGCCAAAAACTTCCCAGATGTGATGCAATACATGAATCTATACATCCAAGAAGTTCAGTGAACTCCAAGCAGGATAAACTGAGAGACATACAGTGGAACATGTTACAAACTATCAAAAGACAGAATCTTGAAAGCAGCATGAGAGAAACAAATTGTAACATACAAGTGATCTTCCAGAAGACTAACAGCCAATTTCTCATCAGAAACCATGGAAGCCAGAAGGCAGTGGGATAACATATTTAAACAATGTCAACTAAGAACTTTATATCCAGCAAAATTATCCTTCAAGAATGAAAGAGAAATTAACATTCTCAAATAAACAAAAAGTAAGTGAATTCATCACTAGTAGACCTATCCTACAAGGGAATGCTAAAGGAAATTCAGGGTGAAACAAAAGGTTATACCTCAAATGAGCATCTTCTCCAGAATTCCTGGTACCCAAGGACAAAGCACTAACTAGGCTTGACTCTGGAATGCTGGATCAGGGATGCCCACCTCAGGACCACTGTCAGGCTGGGCAAGAGAGGCATCAAATTGGACATGCCCAGCAACATTCCATTATCAAGTAGAAAATGGTTTATATGAGTTCTTCAAGAATACTAGTGTTCCTTTCATTAATATATTTTTCCACTTTGGTAAAAAGAATGTCTCAGTGCCCTCTTAGCAGAACCAAGTGAGAAAATGCATGAGGGATCTCACTCCATTCCATTATTATCATAAATGTATTCCATCAGAAGCCTAAAGATTCCTTCCTCTACATTAAATCAAGGAAGTTATGGATCTCAAATTCATTTAATGTAGCCACCAATTACTCCAGCTATTAATCAACCAACAAAGCAAACTGCAGGAGTCATAATCAACTGCTCATGCTAACAATGAATCCCAAATATTTGCTAAGAACATCTATATCAGTAAATTCATCTCAATCCAACACTGTTCTCCTCCTTTTATAATGTCAATAAAATCACTTGCAAACATTTTATTCAGGATTCTTCTGATAACAACTACAAAAAAAATCTTTGTATATGCCTCTTTACCCAGTTCAGGCTTTGTATTCATCTCCCATGGTGTGCAGGTAATGGGTCTGAAGGCAGCAAAAGTTGGTGGAGTGGGCCGTGAGAATAGCATTCTCTTGCAAGCTAATTGCTTCAATGAGAATGTTACAAAGCCTTCAACAAGGAAGGCTGCCTTCAGGTGGGGGAAGAGCACTGGATTCTAACGGAGAGAGAGGTGCAGTGAAACTGGAATTTAGGGTTCTCATATTCATCAGAATCCTCTCAAAGATCCACATTCCAATTCTTAGTGCGCCACTCTTCCCCAGTCAATGTCCTAACTTTTGGTAAACTGCCTGGAGAGGCTGTGGTGTCAACTTGTGTTGTTCTTCAGCAACTTGAAAGATAAGATTTGGGTCAAACACAAACAGGTGGGATCCTTTACAGCTTGGGGTCCAGCCCACCTGCTTTTGACTATAAGTCAGAACAGCTTATGAAAGTATAATCAACTTGGTGACCTTAGGACTCTGTGCACAGGAAATCCCTGCCTATCCTATAGAGCCCCTTTACCCATTAGCACTTGCAAGGCTCTGTCTCCCCAGGGTACCCTCAGGTTCCCTTTCAACAACCCCTGCTTTTGCTACTCTGAGTTTCTTGATCTGAGCTCTCCTTTCTGGGTCCTTCACCTCATTTATGTCTTCATTACTATTTTCTGTTTCTACTGTACCTGAGAGTCATCTGAGACAACCCTGAAGTTCCTTCACCCTTGAGGGGGATCCTCATGGGGCTTCTCTTAGAGGTGTGTAATGAGTTTCTCTCAGAAGCTCAGAGAAATTACATATTAAAAAAAAAACACACCTTTTTAATGTTGTCAATTGATGTTTTATTTGATTTGGTTTGTTTGATTTCAAAAGCCAGAATAAAGGCCTGACCCTTTTAGGAAGTGAGATAATAAACAAATTAGAAATAGGGGAAGAATTATGCTTCCTTTTAAAAGGAATTACAGAGCCATTCAGAGAAAAGAGGGAGGAGACAGGTTCCAAAGTTGTCCAGTGTTTCAGTAAAACAGCAGTGATGGCTTAGATGGGAGAAGCTAAGCACCATGTGGACATTCATAGCTTAGAGATGTAGAACAAGTTGTTCACACCTGCATCACAAATAACAGCAAAACTAAGCTGGAAGATGTGATGTGATGTTCTTAAAAAGTATAGAGCGGACTCAAGGTTAAGAGAAGAAGCAAATTTAGAGAAATAGAGTGCAGTCACTCTTGCTCCTTGTAGCCTAACTTTGATGGGTTTGTTTTGCTTATGAGTAGAAAGTTAAACCATGCTGTTATCTAAAGAAGCTTTTTGTCAGTGAGGTATTGAGTGCTCATTTTTCTTGGGCCACCCCAAGCAGCCACTCAGGGAGTAGCACCCTCCTAGTTCCCCAGAGGGATTAGCCAGCTCAGCAGCTGTCATGCCTGCAAACCTCACACCCTTTGCTAATAATGGCTCACTTCTGAGCACCCACCATCTGCCACACGAGGCCAGCCTCAGGGCTTGAGGCACCCTGACGCTGCTGAGGTTGAGCAGGCCGCGCTCTGCCTTCTTGTTTCAGCTCATACTGTAAACGTGTTCTTTCCGTGGTCCATTCAGTGCCACATTTCTTGTTGTTGTTACTGCATTTTTGTGCCTTTTCTTGGTGTTTTCATTGTTTAAAAAAATCTCCAAGTATACTGCTGAAGTCTATGTTAGTGTTGCTATGTGCAAGAAGGTGGTTCCTTAGGGAGAAAATGTATGTGCTAGATGGGCTTCATTCCAGATGTGTTAGAGCACTGCTGGCTGTGAGTTCAACGTTAATGAATTAGCAATGTATATTACATAGGGTGTCTTTAAACAAAAACACCCATAAAACAAAGTTTTGTATTGATTGGTTGCTGAAAATGGTGTGACCAAGGCTTGCAGGAACCCTAATGCTGTATTTCCTGAGGAGCAGTGGTTCCTATTCACTAATTCAGTATTGACAGCAGCTTTATAGCACATAAGTACCATGAATTACAAGAATCAATTGTTTCTGTCTCCATTTCACTCCACAGAGAAGCAAAATGATGCCTTACCCCTTTGGCAGGAGAGAAAACAGCAAGCCAGCATCCAACTGCAGGGCAAGCTGGAGTTAACAGAAGCACAGAGACTCAGACTGGTTTCACCTCATTTTCTTTAATGTTTCTAGTCTTTCCTCCAGTGATTTCCTTCTGCATAGGCCTTCCAAAGTTCAGTCTCATGAGCAGTTTTAACCAGATTCATGTGCCTTAACAGAAAAATAGCAAAACAGTTGGAATTGCTGGCCTCCTAGTGGTATTCTTAAGGTTTTCTTAGAAGAGGGATACAAATATTTTTAGGAGAAAAAAGTCACCATTTAAAAACTGGTTTAGAGACTCTTTTTTTTTTTTTTAAGATTTTATTTATTTATTTGAAAGAGAGAGAATGAGAGATAGAGAGCACGAGAGGGAAGAGGGTCAGAGGGAGAAGCAGACTCCCTGCTGAGCAGGGAGCCCGATGTGGGACTCGATCCCGGGACTCCAGGATCATGACCTGAGCCGAAGGCAGTCGCTTAACCAACTGAGCCACCCAGGTGCCCTGGTTTAGAGACTCTTAATCATAGGAAACAAACTGAGGGTTGCTGGAGGGGAGTTGGGTGGGGGATGGGGTCACTGGGTGAAGGACATGAAGGAAGGCACACGATGGAATGAGCACTGGGTGTTACATGCAACTGATGAATCACCGAACTCTACCCCTGAAACTAATAATACACTATATGTTAATTAATTTAATTTAAATAAAAAATTAAAATTAAAAATTAAAAAATTAAAATTGGTTTATACTTGGGGTGCCTGGGTGGCTCAGTCAGTTAAGTGTCTACCTTTGGCTTGGGTCATGATCTCGGGGTCCTGGGCTCAAACCCCGCATCAGGCTCCCTGCTCAGCAGGGAGTCTGCTCTTCCTTCTGCCCACTGCCCCCCCAACCCTGCTCATGCTTTCTCTCTCAAATAAATAAATAAAATCTTTTTAAAAATTGGTTTATATTCAATATACGCCTGATTTCTAAAATAAAAAACACACATTTGTCATATAGTGTAGAGAAGGTAAAAAGAATTAATATTTAATTCTCAAAATTCAATCTCAGAGATACTGTCTCATTTTACAGATGAGGAAAGGGCACCTCCGGTCCAGACGGTACCTAAATCCGCACCAGCAACAGCATGCACAGACAGGCCATCTGCCTCCATGCTCATGGTCTTCCCGTTTTTCCACACAAATCACCCTTCATCGCTGGCCTTCAGCACCACGGCAGACTGTAGATAGGACTCCTGCCGGACAATGAAAACAGGAGGGAACTGAAGGAGCAGTTAACACCCAAAACCCCAGTGTAGACAAGTTCACACTAAACTCTTCTCAATCTTGGGCGCCTGGGTGGCTCAGATGGTTAAGCGTCTGCCTTCGGCTCAGGTCATGATCCCAGGGTCCTGGGATCGAGTCCCGCATCGGGCTCCCTGCTCAGCGGCAAGCCTGCTTCTCCCTCTGCCTCTCTCTCTCTCTGTCTCTCATGAATAAATAAATTAAAAAAATCTTTTAAAAAATAAATAAATAAATAAATAAACTCTTCTCAATCTCATTTTTTGTCATCTTCTTCCTCCATATCTAATTTTTCCTCATTTTCTGGGTTTTGTACAAGTTCACAGCCACCACTAAATGACATTGGGACTTTGTCACCAAACCCTTTCTCCTTATTCTTCCTCCTCCAAGATTCTCTCTTCTCTTCCTGCCTACATCATGATGCAGGCTTTCAAAACTACCCACTGTGATTTCAATAGCTTTAACTTCCTGGACACTCCACCTCCCTGTTCTGCCTTTTTCACCACTTACCTTTTCCTTCTATAAAGTGCTGGCTCTAAGCAGTTGAAATGGGGGTGATTTCTGTCCATTTATATATAACACACTTTGAGTTTGTTTTAAAAAAACACAAGAAAACTGATTTCTGAATTATTTAGGGGGAAGTTTATGATTTCATTTAAAAATAAAATATAGGTGAGTTTCACTTTGAGAATTCAGACTCTGAACCTCAGCTCAGTGTGTGGTGTCCACATGACACATTCCCAGATGCATCCACGTCCACCTCTGCTCTGCAGCACACACATCAGATGGAGAGGACAATGACCTTCAGGAACCTTGGAAATTAGTCATTTACAAAAATGCAAAGTATACATTTTGTATAGAAAACTGTATAATACCTAATTCAGAATTTGTCCTTTATTATAATTGCCATGTTTTAATAAATTTTACTCCTTTTCCTATAAAAGCAGAATGCTCGCCATACTTCAGGCACCAAGCTTAAAACTTAGCCTTTTTAAAAAAAAAATTTTTATTTATTTGACAGAGCGAGAGCACAAACACGTGAAGTGGCAGAGGGAGAGGGAGAAGCAGACTCCCCACTGAGCAGGGAGCCCGATGCGGGGCTCGATCCCAGGACCCCGGGACCATGACCTGAGCTGAAGGCAGACATTTAACTGACTGAGCCACCCAGGTGGCCCAAAACTTAGCCTTTAAGATAAAAACAATTTCCCCATATCTGTCTCCAACATTACACATTTCACACACAAGCTTCTTTGCACAATTTGTTTATTTACTCAGAGAGCATGAGCAAAGGGAGAGGGACGAGCAGACACTGCACCAAGTGTGGAGCCTGACACGGGGCTGGATCTCAGGACCCTGGACTCATGACCTGAGCCAAAATCAAGAGTCGAGTGCTGAACTGACTGAGCCACCCAGGAGCCCCGACAAGGCAATGTAATTGTATGTGGAAATCTGTTCATTTCTTTTTTATTTCCGTGACTTTATCCTAGTCTTCTCTTTGGGCTTTACTGTCCTTTATCTGACTCCAAATTACAAAATGATAAGTGAAAATCTATTCTGGCCTTGTCCTGGTACATGGCTAATGGTCAAAATAACAAATATGAACAGATACTGTCCACCCCTTGCAAGGGTTAGGTTTGTAGCACGATTCTTAGCCACTCGGGAACACAGGTGCACACCCGCTGGCAGCTCCTACTGGGTGAAGAGCAGGCCATCCCTCGAGGGTGTAGCTGGGAGCAGCAGACGGCAGTTGAGAATCATTGCCAGCCCTGTTTGATGTCATATGATAAGGTCGCTGAAAGGACAAACTGTACCAGTTTGTCCATCCACCTCTAGGATTGCTTTTGCTGTCCGTATCCCTCACTTCCCTGGCAGGTGGACTCTACTCCAGGCCTTGCACTGAGTTTTCACTGGGCCAGGGAGGTTGGACGGAGATCGGGGTGGGGGGGTGCCCCCCATGGCCTAGGCTTCACTGCAGACAAAAGTGTATCTCTGTGAAAGCCATCATTCCAATGCTAAAAGCCACTTACAGATGAGCCACTAAAAGCCATCCTTGATGTACATTAACCAGAAATAAGGAAAAAAATGCAATCCATGCCACGTGCAACCAAGCAAGTATGTAAGGCCGAGAAGCCACTGCATCAGGAAAACCTCACCTCATGAACAAAAGAGAAAATCTGAGTCATCAAGAAAAATTGCTAAAAATCTATGAAAAGCCAAATTTTCCAGTTTTTTCTAAGAGACCTATTCCAAATGTAGATTGGAACATCTCAAAAGTAATGGTTTGTGTCAAAAGACATGCATTTTGGGGCACCTGGCTGGCTCAGTAGAGCATGCAACTCTTATGATCTCAGGGTTGTGAGTTCAAGCCCCATGCTGGACATGGAGCCTACTTAAAAAACAGAAAAGACGTGCATTTTCTTGTTTGAGATAACAAACAATAAAATGACACATGCCCAAGTATGACCGATTCAGCCATACAGACATTCCTATTACAAGGTTTTCATCGGTGAAGACTGGTCACAGGTCCCACGATCACTAGGTATGCAGGGCTAAATCTAAGCAGCAGTTGTTGTGGAACGTCCATCAGAAAGGAGGTGGGCAGCCGTGTGTAGGAAGCACTAGAGGCCCACGTCTGATCACCGGAGGGAAAGGGCAGTAAATGCCTTCCCTGTGCATGGAGCCGACCCAATGCCAAGTGAGCCCAGGACTGATGGGACAAAATGGCCTGCGGCCCCCAGGGAACAGAAGTCATGTTGCACTGACTGCATTACTGGAAGACAGTCAGCATGACGTCCTTGTGGATACAATGAGTCTGCTGATACCCTCCCCCAGCATTACTGGAAGACAGCCAGCATGACGTCCTTGTGGATACAATGAGTCTGCTGATACCCTCCCCCAGCATTCAGACACAAAACTTACAGACTCATTCATCCCCGCCTAATAATTTTAGTGAACAAGTTTTCATTCAGAAATCCCAGAACTCAATCCTCACATAATTCTCCCATTCTAAGAATATTCTAAGCAACTTTCTAAATTTGGGGACTACTAAAGAACACTATCCAAAATCTCCGCATACTTCTTTGCCAACATATATCATCCTCTAGTGTTGGGAGGATTATGTAAGCTCCTGTTTTCACTTCCAACCCATCTTGAAGGAAGGACAGATGGAGCAGCGTGCTTCCTGCTTAGAGCTGCAACTGAACTGTGGTTCTGCATCTCCTCACCTGACCAGACAGGGGCCAGGGGCGGGGCAGACCTCAGACTAGATGCTGCACGCACAGCAACAGGCAGGTGTGGACAACATGCAGCTCACGGGCACGACCCAAAGGAGACACATTCCAAGAAAACATCAGCCCATAAGTAATAGTGTGTAACACAAATGTCTGGTTTCCACCTGCCTCTGGCACGCTTCCCCAGACGCCAGATATCAAAATCGCAAACCCTCAGCTGCATGATATATTTCCAGAGGTTTCAGACCAAACTTCTTACCTTTTCATTTAAATTGACAACTTAGGGGGCGCCTGGGTGGCTCAGTCACTTAAGCGTCTGACGCTTGGTCTCAGCTCAGGACGTGATCTCAGGATCGTGAGATCCAGCCAGGCTGCAGGCTCCATGCTCAGCATGGAGTCTGCGGGAGATGCTCTCTCTCCCTCTGCCCCTCCCCCCACTTGCATGCTCTCTAAAACAAATATTTAAAAAAATTAAAAAATAAATTTAAGACTTAGGAAGTTCACAATATCATAATACAAAGTTTTAGTCTTGTGACACTTTACCATCTTCAGAACTAACCTTTTGAAGTATTTAAAGTTATATATTTGGGGGCACCTGGGTGGCTCAGTCAGTTAAGCGTCTGCCTCCGGCTCAGGTCATGGTCCCAGGGTCCTGGGATCAAGCTCTGCATCAGGCTCCCTGCTCTGCAGGAAGCCTGCTTCTCCCTCTCCCACTCCCCCTGCTTGTGTTCTCTCTCTCGCTGTCTCTCTCTCTGTCAAATAAATAAATAAAATCTTAAAAAAAAAAAATAAAGTTATATATTCGACCCCACAATAGTGGGGTTGGCTCACTGTAATGCCAATGGAGAACATTACACATTTGTGGTAAGAAATACGTTCACATACTCCACTCTCCAGAACCCGCACAGTGTTAGCTGTTGCCCCCCACAGATGTCCGGAGCCACAGAAACAATTTGCTCAGGGTTAGCTGCTTTGCCAGCCAATTTCTGACAACACAAAACAGGAGTCCTTTAAGAGGAAAACATAATTTCAAAGCATGGAATTTCTTTTGAGGTTTTGACAGTTTTTCTATGAGCCCAAAATCAGGAAAAAATGTTTATTCCAGGTTACCTAATATACCACCATATTTCTTGATACTCCTGATAATTTTTTTAAAAATTCATCTGTTCATTTACACAGGAGTATTTTGCTCAGTTCTTATTAGAAAACCAAGAGAAGCAGAAACTTTTCTGATCACACACACATTTTTGGAGGATGCACTTGGAATTCCCCACTAACCTCCAGCTGTAATTCCATGTGGTTTTTATGAAACTATCCATTTTCTTTTACAGAATTCAGCCCTGGCTGGATATTAGCTCTTACTAATACTAGTTTTAGATTTGACTCTTAGTTTTTTTATTATTATTTTATTTTTTTAGAGAAAGAGACTGTGCAAGTGGTGGGGGCAGGCAGAGAAAGAGGGAGAGAGAATCCCAAGCAGACTCCACACCCAGCACAGAGCCCTACACGGGGCTGGATCCCAGGACCCGGGCCTCTTCAGGGCAGATGCCCACGTGCCATTTGTGACTCCAGCCAACTGGCAAGCTGCCTCCCATATGGACGCCCCACATGCATCCCACTCACCACCTCAGTGTGGGAGAATACATCACCAACAAAGGTGATTTCATACATTTTTTACTTAAAATCAATTAATATATAGTGTATTATTATTTTCAGAGGTAGAG